AAATTACAGCTGTATCAGCGGGAGTTCGAAGTAGAGATGATAAGTACGGATAACGAAATTCTTTATTGCCGAGCGTGTGAGAAAACGGTTGTGAAAAACGCTTTAAAGTGCTTCAGCACTAATATACATAAAGAGAATATTAAAATTAAATCCACGAAAAGTGCTCCTGTTCAAAAATTGCTTGGTGAATTTTATAATAATAGTTCTTCACAGTTTTCCTTTGATTTATGCGAAGCCTTTTTAGCGGCAGATATTCTGCTGTTGAAACTAACCAATCCTACTCTGAGAAACTTCATATAGAAGTATACACAGTGCAAAGTGCCGGATGAATCTACTGTGCGCAAAAATTACGTGAAGCAGTGTTACGATTAGCATTAGAGATAAGATTCAAGATAATTTTGTGTGGGTATCAATCGACGAAACACAAGATTGTGAGGGACGGTTTATTGCAAATTGTATACTTGGATCCCTTAATAAGAATGAACAATCCACCCCATATCGTCTTGCGGTAGAGCAATTTGAAACCACAAATAGCTCCGCATTTTCCGAATTTTTTAACAATTCCATGAAATTTACTATGGCCGAATGACATTCAGTATGAGCGCGTATTGCTCTTTGTGACTGATGCCGCAAGTTATATGATGAAAGCGGGTACTGCTCTTAAAGTTATATTTCCAAATATGACACATTTGACTTGCTTTGTCCATGGGTGGCACCGTGTTGTAGAAACAATTCGTGCAAATTTTCCGCTTGTCGACAAGTTGGTGTTTTCTGTGAAGAAGGTATTTGTTAAAGCGACATACAGAAAAGAAGCCTTTAAGGCAGTAGCACCGAGCGTTCGCCAGAAAATCCGGCGTTTCAAAGGGACATATCACCTCCATCTACAGTTCTTTTTGCCGCCTGTTCTTCCTAGTACGTCTTACTCTTCGACCCTGAACATGAAAGTGATACGTTCCTTCGAAACGTTGGATTTCTTCAAACTACACCGTGACACAACCAAGTAGAATGTGCTTCACATAGCCCCCGCTGTGAGAATTTGATATCTGTCACAAATATGTATGCATTTTTAATAAATGCTTCAAATTTATAATGCAAAGGAGCACTGCATTAGAATAACAAAACAAGCACAATTTAAATCGTTTAAAGTAAATAAAGGCTTTCAAATGTTTCTTCCTAAACTGCAGTCCTGTTCTGGTGATTACGGTTCGTTCTGGAGTATGAAAGTTCGAAAATATGCTGATGATAACACTTCTTTTGTTCTATTATTTCAAAAACCGGATAACGGTAAACGAAAAAATTTACTAAATACAAAATCTGAGTTTTATATTTGCCTACAGCTTCTGTTCGAAACTTTATTCTTTGAATCTTGACGCAAATTCATCAGTAAACACAACCGATCTACGTTATAGTTTGAAATGGCTGGGTAATCTCTCGTAAAGGTCTCCAGTATCGAGGGTCATGGGAGTCCATCCAGCAGTTCTGAAGTTGTTCCACAAGAGCAGGCGGACTGGGGGAACTTAAGCGCTCCACAAGCGACTGAGGAGGTCGTGAAAGTACAGTAGTGCTACAGCTGATGTCAAATATCTTCATAAATCCTACTCATTAAATGGTCTTAATAATGTAGCGGAAATCACGAAAAGGCATGGGCTTTAGAGAAGTTATTAATTTTTGTTTCACTAAAAAAAGCATCTTTAGGATGCATTGAAGTTGGAGGCAACAGGTTATTCGGAAACTCTGGATCACAAAAGATCGCAGTACTGATAAATATCATTATTGTTTACCAACATATACACGTGAATTAACATTTTATTAGTAATGTAGTTACTGTTTATTAAAGGCCGTGTCATAGATCGGGCGGTTAGTCGCCGGCTTCCTACCACGGCGGCCCGGGTTCGAGAGGAAGTGAGGTCATGTGGGATTTGTGGTGGACAAAGTGGCATTGGGGTAGGATGTCTCCGAGTACTTCGGTTTCCCCTGCCAATTCTCATTCCACCGGCTGCTCCACACTCATCATCTATCATCCGGGGCTGGTACAATATGCCAAAACAGTTGCCGACGTACCGAGTGGACTCAAGTCCCGCCCCATCGCAAGAAATTAGAAAACTAAAATTACTGTTTGTTATCACATTAGTGACGTAGGGGCCACTGGTATGCAGCCGCACTATATAACTTCAAATTATTTTCTATAATGTTGTGTAATTTATACAATTTCGAAACAAAATATTTAAAATGAATGATTTAAACTCTAAGCTGATAAACAATTTCGATTATCCATATTTTTATTTACAGATAGTCAGTTTTCGGGAGAAAGTGTGAAAGTCTTTTTGTTCTGCATGTGAAGGTGGATTATGTTGCAAGAATAAGGACCCAAATTAAACTTGGCCGGCATTAATTTCAAACTTGTCAATGTTAAAGTATATTGAGATCCGTTACGAAGTTTAGAAGTTGAAGCTGACCAGATCTGTCTATTAGAGGTAGTCAAAAATTTCCTACATCTTTGTTCCAGAAATATTTTCTGCTCAAAAACTATTTTTTGGTCGGCGCGAGTTAGGCTTATGTCTGTATTTGAAAACAAATTCAAAGTGGTCATATCAAAAATGAAAACTGCTCAACATTTTTCGGCAACACTGTCTAATAAAAGATTATATACAATATGTTAAATGGTACTCAAATTTAAATAAGCGGGAAAGACGGATGCGGCCACTCATGTGAGCGTTCACTTTGTGCAAAATTAATTAAAATCGAGAAAAATATGTGAAATTGATATACAGGAAAATGGCCTGAGGCATAATTTCCGTGTATTCAGCTACACATACAAGTACGTCACGGATTAGAAGTTCAGCTTGTAGCGAATATCTGGAAAAAGAATAGTATTTATTGTAACTAATTAGATCTGCTCTACATTTGTACAAACATATCTTCCAAGAGATGGTTATTTATGCGCACAACTTCAAATAGGCTGCGACAACTTCTACATCTGTGCTGATTCCTCATTTACGTCAGTGATTCCCAGCCATTTTTACTTCATCTGTAGAGTTACCAGGGACCAGTACCCCATGTGTGTGTCACATTGCACAGTGATTCCCAGCCATTTTTACTTCATCTGTAGAGTTACCAGGGACCAGTACCCCATGTGTGTGTCACACTGCACAGTACAAATAGTAGACTACAATCAGATTAATATTACGCCTAAACCTGCTCATTTATAATATACAAAATAACGGGTTTATATAATAATAAAATAAAAGTAATTTCACCCACTTGAACATTTTCAATTAATTGCATACACTATTATTGCACACTGTGATTTTTATGTGCCATATGAGAGCAAGAAGATGGGAAACAGACTGTAACAATGACTGCACTTAATATGTAGCATGTAGCCGCGGTATAACTTATGAAATTAAATTACGTGATGATTATCAAATGAAATGCACGTGAACTTCTGATCAAAATTCGTAAGTTAACTTTTGTATGGGACAACATGATCCTGTTGTAGAATATTTGCTTATATAACAGAAAGAGAACAATCGTAGTTGATTTGTTGTAATTAGGTTGTACAGAACGTTAGTACAATTCAGAATGGACTATTTAGGTCCCGAAACTAAATAGAGAAGTCACTAAATGTAAAGAAAATATACTCTTATACCTGCTGCCTTAAGAGTACAACGTAATGCTAACTAGAATTTGTGGGCTACGAGTTGTTACATAATGACGAACACAGAATTGGATTCACGGTACGTAATGTCAGTAGCTGAAACAGCATCACAGAATAGGCATATATCAAGTAATCAATTATATATTTTGCAAGGGAATTACAAAACAAATGGCTACTGGCAAGACACTGTTTTTTGCTTTACACGGTTTCGTTCATGGCGATTATCATACAGAAATAAATGAACAAAGCAAATGATTATTATATCCGTAAGCGGTATTACAAAGAGACGAATAATGTTTCGGTTACAAATAATGTACACCGACAGAGGCACCTGTGCAGTACGTAGTTTAAATTAATTTTATATGCTAAAGCAGTGTAAATTCACAATGAAAATAAACCTTTGCCAAAAACGACAAAAATGTGTTTGGAATCTAAAAGTTTTAATTTGTGCAAATTGAGTGTGTTCCACTGGGGCAATTAGGTGTGCAAATGTTACTTAACCATTACACTACTAACGCCAGTTCTAAAGGTTAATGAAGAGATATAAGTAAAGTCTTTGGAGCTCGAATGTTTATCACTACCATCAGAAAATCTCGCCCCTGAGCACAGCTAAATTTAGTTCAAATTATCATGCCGTAAGTATGTAGTTCTGCTTTTATGTTTGCACGTCATTAACGTCCAAATTCTTAATAGTTACAATATCCACTTTATGCAACGCAACATAGCATTTGTCTAAATACACTTCAAACAATATTAGCAACGCCATTTGTGATCAGAAGACCCTGAGGTACTTTAACCTTCTCGTGCACCTACATCGCATATGTTGGCTCAGGATAACTCCCGTGCCTACCAGGCACACGTCAAACACCTGACTAAATACCGTGGTTTGTGTCCGATTACTTGCACATAATATGCTATTTGAAAACTGATTTATGTTTTGAAATGAAGGACTTATGAAATTAAACCCGATATCCTCAGTTGCAAGGTATATTTTTCTTATATAAACCAATCTTTGACTGTCCTGTGTAGGGCCCACCGATTGCTTAATCAGAATTTAACGTTATTATTTAATTAATTAATTTTCTCTGTTTGTGCCTTTCTTCTTCAGGCTACTGGTAGAACCACGTTTGAAGAACTATGCCATTTTCCACATTTATATCAAGAAATCATGTTATCTTATCATACGTAGATACCCTTCTGTTCCCGTTTCTCAGTTGAGCCTTGTATTTCATGCTTTCAGAAGAGCCCAGAATAGGAATACTGTACTAACATACGTGTACAGTGTGGATCACAAAACACTTCACCAGTTAAATGGTTTAAAGTGAGAAATTCTGGAGCTTACCTTTGTTTCGGTGTCTTGATTACTCCACGTTCTGAGAGGAACGACTTGGGCAGCGACAGGGATCTTTGCTGGGAGTCCAGCATCATTTTGTTCCGGGCTTCTTCCACCTCTGCTGGAGCGCTTCCAGGTCGAGGTTCCAGCGTCGACTTCTTACGGTCACGAATTGGTGACTTAGTCATCAACATTATTGTCGATGAGGCGTCTTCTAAAGGCGTAGAAGTTCCGGAACTTTTCTGTGTTCTGGGACTCTTCGTGACGGTCCTGTCAGACGTCGTCACCCATACGTCACTGGATGATGAAGATGACGAGGAGGTGCCTCCAACAGCGGAAGGTGACCTACTATTCACAACACTAGCCACAATCGGAGACACTTTACGTTCCTTTGGAACACATAACGGTCGCTCAAAACCGTCTTCTGCCAGATCCATCAAAGGAGACACAACAATTGAACTTCCACTTGACTGACGGTGACATAAACCAATTCCCATGCCAAAACCCGTATCCCTCCTATACTGGCCGGCGTCCCTGTCTATGGAGGAGTTAACACATGATGAGGTATCTAAACCGGCTTTAATTCTTTCAGAATTTGTACCGAAATTTGCAGGACGTCTAGGTATATGTGAATACTGACACGGTTGCCCACTGTTCCTCCTCTTCGGTTTCTTGTCCTCCACGTCTGGGGGAATCGGTTTCCTATCGGAAGAACTGCTGATACCGTTGAGGCCACTTTGATTTTTCCTGGGCATAGTGAGATCATATTCATCCACTCGATCTAATGATGCGGGAGATGATCTCGTGGATTGTCCACTCCCACGGGACCCATCACCTCGCTTACTTTTTTCGTCATTGTCGTAGTTTCGCCTGGATTCGTTCCTACCGCGTTGATTCTGAGTCGGCGCGGTAGTAGGGTAGCTATGCGATAGCCGCATGTTACTGGCAGCAGATGGCGCTGTGGGTAGTTTGGCTCCAGAGGATGGAGAAGGTGTCGAGGATTTGCTATGGCTAGAGGGAGGGTACAGACAGTCGCGATTAGCACAATGAGGCCAGAAGTCGCATGTATCCGGAGTGCATGGGTTGAGATCCGGACAGAAGACGTGACCTGAAGACGTGGTGGGTGTAGTGATTCCACGCTGTAGGACTCTCTGTCGCTGTTGTGATTGCTGCTGCTTGCCCTTGTTTCGAGACACGAAGAAGATGTTAAATCCTGGCTCCGGTTCTTTGTTGACGCGGCGCTCCGTCTCGTGTTCGGCGTGGTATCGCGCCTGTAGGAGTGCCCGGGCGGCTGCGCGACTCCGCGTCCCGTGCAAGTAGTCCGTGACGGCTCGAGCCTCGTCCTCCCAGCGCACTCCATCGTCGTATCGGCTCTCTTCCGACTGCGCCTTTCCTGCAACGCCACAGCGCAGAAAGAAAACTGAATAGCACAAAGGTGAAACTGCAATTCATTGTTCTGCACATCTCAATCTGAAGTATAATATTGATATATAAAAGGTAAAGCTATCGCTGTAAGGGGCCGTGGAGGCCCATAGGGTCGTGCGATGTTGAAGCTCCCACATTTTCTAGACAATCGGCTCACTGATGGCGGTAAGGTTGTCGGCCTTACGCGCCGGCCGCCCTTTACCACCCCCACCCTCCGAAGAATATTCCTAGTACTCATTTCTGTAAGAGGCTGAGTCGACCCCAGGGCCATAGTACGGCTAGAAGGATTAAGTGAATAGAAAAATCCAATGACCTCATAGGGAATCAAACCCGCAACCTTCCGGCTTGTAGCATAGTGCTTCAACAAACTACGCTACCGCGTGCCCCCATATTCATATATAGATGGTATTAAAAGCCAATAAAATAGAACCCATGCAATTGTTTGAATTGTATGAATATTTTTTTTTGTTAATTTACAATCTACTTGACCACTGTAAGTAATAAGTAAATGCGATGGGTGTATGTATGAATATGGCACACAAATTCTCGTGCCCAGAAAACAAGCGAAGAAATAAGTATAAGTGAGATATATAACTTAACAAAAGAGTTTAATTCGCGAAATCGAATTATGAAAAGAATAAGGCATGAAACGAATACATCAAGCGGTTTATGCATTTCTGTCTTCTTTCTTTCTTTCTCCTTGGCACTACAGCCCCAGTGGGCCTAGGCCTACCTCCGTGAACTTCTCCGTTCACTTCGGTTTTTCTAGATCTAACACATTCGGTAGGACTCCTTGGGCGGGTGATCAGATCGTCGCAAGGCCTCTACCTATACACAAACACAGAAAAACGCATACACACAAAGTAAACATCCATGCCCTGTGTGGGATTCGAACCCACGATCACGGTTTAGAAGCAAACGAAGACAGTACATGCCTTAGACCCTTCGGCTACCGTGACCGGCTCTGTCTTCTTCTTAAGGTTCTAAATTAGCGATTCTTTTATTTTTGTTTTCTAATGAAAAAATAAAGGATTCCGATAGTGCATGAAGAGATGCGACTATGTTATACTTTCGTATCTAGTAACACTTTGAGGCAAATTACAGTTCCTTATTTTCATTTAGAGAATCCTAAGCGCAAAAGCAAGGTATCCTCAGAAGGAAGTGTTTCCGTTCTTCATGGGTAACGGGACGCTGTACTATGCAGTCTAGATACTGATAGCGTCCTTAAATAACAAGCTCAAATAAAGTGAAATAAAAAATAAAAATTTAATCGAATAACATGGAATTAATTAATTAATTAATTCATCAATGGCTCTACAGCCCTTTGTTAAGCTCTGACTTGCTTTTTAATTTCGTGATTTTTTTTTTCACAGACGGTAGGACTTCTTGAACGGGTGATCAGCCCGTCGCAAGGCCGCTACCTACACATTGACACAGAATAAACTCACACAGACATCCATGTCTTGAGTGGGATTCTAACCCACGATCACTGCGTTTGAGCGAGGGAAGACAGTTCATATCTTAGAGCGTGCAGCAACTTTGATCAGCGGATAATCTGGAATACCGATTAAAACGACCACCTAAATACATTTTAAACCTTTAAATAAATGTGTAATACGTGTACGTTAAACGTGAACTGTTGAGAAGACAATTTTGTTCGATATATTCTTTCGATAAGTTACATATTCTGCCTGTCTTTCCTAAAGAATAACATGTTTATAATATTGTAAGACCTATTTCACTTCAGTCTATGTTGTAAGCAAATGACATGATAACGAAGCGCGGTTTTCATTTGGTATATGCATTTTGTTACTCATTTATTTACCATTCTTAAAATTCATCATAATAACAAATTATGTGGCTGAAAGAACATTATTTCATACCCTTAATAACAACTTCACATATTGGAAATTACTGGTATTTCTTAATAATAATTTTAATCTGGTCTCACACTTGTAATCAAGTTCACCAGACATTTCCGTATACAACGAAGGAATGCAATTAAATTACTAATTATTAACGCTTAATGTAACTGAAGTCTATGTGAATCTGCAGCAGTATGCTATATTTGTGCCAAGGAATTTAACTTACAGATAACATCCTATTCGAGTTAGGTTAGAGGTGAGCGGCCTCCGTAGTCTAGAGGTAACGTTCCCACCTCATGACTCGTGGTACGCGGGTTCAAATACCCGGCGGAGATCGTCGAATTTTTAAGGGCGGAAAAATTCAAGGAACAAGTCCTCCAGGAGGGACTTTAAGCTGTGTGTCCCGTGTCGTAACTTTACGGCACGTAAAAGAACCTCATATCACCAAAGGGGATCACTGAGCCAAATTCCAGGACGTTTCCCGCCCAACAATAGTCTCTAAGGCCTCTGATAGATGGGGGAAGCATTATAGACACCGCTAAGCAAGTGGCCGAACTCGCTTGCTCGGCGGGACTGATGGTACGCACCATTTATCGGTAGGGGAAAGAGACTGGTAGAATATCATAGAGGGAAGCACAATAGACCAAACTGGTCGCGGTGCATGGGGAAACCCACCCTCTCTAAATAACTAACTAACTAACTAGGTTAGAGGTGTCATCACTTACTGTTGTGTATGAGGGGGCGTCTTGGTCGTTCGGCCGGCTCAGCACCGATCTTAACGACCACACGATGGGGCTCCGGGGGCTGTTGCTGTTGCTGTTGGAAGTAGTGGTGCGGGTGTTGTTTCACCTGCAGGTACTGGCCGTCTGTGTGGCTGTGGCTGCCAGGCGATAGCGCTCCGGGAGACTTAGTTTCCGGCAACTGCAAACTTCGGGACCGACGTACCCGGTTCCGGCCGTCCCACGTATGATAGCCGTGAGGAGCAGGTTCCGGCATACGAAGCAGAGACTGCTGCACTTGCTGCTGCTGCTGCTGCTTCGCAGTGGAGTGGCTCGCCGACCGCCTGAAAGCCTGCGACGATCCCGTCCGTCCCGTGCAGCTACTTGAGGAAGATGAAGAAGACGAAGAGGAATTGTTCGAAACAAGTTTCTTGTTACTCCCTTCCGAACCCGGCGACCTCCTTAGCGGATGTGTGCGGTGGTCCGATCTCTGATTTTGGTGATGTAGCCGGATGCTGTCCTTATGACGTAGAGATGATGGCGACACTTTTTCTCCATTGACAAGAGCCCGCTCTTTTGGTTGGAGTCCAGAGACGGCTGCAGAAGTATCAGGCGAAGCGTTAATTACAGTAATAGATGAGAACGCACTGAGATTCAAGGAGGATTCCCGGTTTTCCTCTTCATCACCGTCCTCATATCCGCCAACAGAGGAATCAGTCTCAGACAGCCGAGGCATGGCAGCGCGCGCGTTGATGTTGCTGTCCAGACTTCGGAACCCAAAGGAAGAGGACGAAGAAGACGATGAGTCATACTTTTGGAACTGCGACCTGCGAGTTCCGCTTCCTGTCGTATCTTCTAAGGACTTCGTTTGCGGGATTCGCAGCGTCTGACTTTGAGGTGTGCCGACTGGAGACGGTGTGAGCCGACGCGCTCTCAGAGAACCGGGAGGTGCTGCTGTGCGTGGAGACGGAAGCGTGCTCCAGTTTATCGGTGGGGGTGGCGACGGCGGCGGGCTTACAATGTCGCTGTCCACTATGGCATTTGAGCGGGGTAAGAAGGGAGGTTTACCGCTACTGACTCGAAGACGAGGTGCTGTTTGATATCTACGACTTGGGTCCTGGAATGCCGGCGGGGGAGATATGATAGGAGTTACTGATGGTGGCGACATTGGATCACCCGGTAGGCTATGATCTTGAGGGGACGGCGATGTACTGCGGCTAGTAATGCGGTGCTCAAACTCGCGTCCTTTGGTGATTCCAATTGGGAGCGGTAAAAAAGCAGGTCGCTGTTGTTCCTCCAACTTGAGGGGTTCTGGGAATTTTCCTGGCTCACTGTTGCTGCAGTGGTAGTCTGCGAGCTTGATGCCAGGACGTCGCGAGGGCAGCGTACCCCCTACAGATTCAAGAGGCACCGTGGTGGGGGCTGGAGGTAAAATCCCGTAATTCGCTCGACGGTTCTCGTCCAGCGAGCGTTGCTGGACCTGTACCCAGCCCGAGCGACCGAGGTAGACTCCATCCACTTCGCGGTCGCACCATCGAACCGGCGATAGCTCGCGGCTACAGCTACCATTGTTGGTACCGCGGTCAACCGACGATAAGCTACTCGCAATGAAGAGCGCGGTGGGACCGGCGTCACGACGACGAGATGGCGGTAACGACGCGTAGTTGGCGCTGCGTGTCTGCGACGTGCCGTTGTTGCCCGCATATTTGACCTGTAGCGTGGGGATGGAGCTTATATGGCCCACGACGCTGCTTCGGGACGAGGGCCGCGAAGTGTAGGAGGACGTGGTGGTCAATGTCTCCCAAGGCTCCGATGTGCTGCGCAGGTGCAGGATGGACACATTGGGGCCCCTGTCAGCAGAAACAACTCATTGAACTAAAATTATAATTGGATTCATGTAACAGATATGCTAAGTAAGGTCTCAAATAATTGTGTTTATCCCTACTGAAAAAAGAAGAAGCAGAAAGAAACATCACTTCAGTTTAACAGTAGATGGGTGGGGGGGGAATGGGAGCAGTTTATTTCTGATCCATATATTGTATCTATAAATGAAGATTTCAAATACAATAGCGATTAACTGCGGCAGTTGTAATCCAGAGATATCGTGGGTTTTCTCAGTCCGTTTCTTCGATAGCTCGGATATGAACTTAATTAGAACACGATTAATTATTTTTGCAGATTTATAAATTCGTCGTGCTAAAATATCACATTCGAAGATATAAACATCAGAATTTGAGAGAGCGTTGACAAATAAATAACAGACAAGTCAAGTAACCTAAAGTCAGCTTCAGCTCTTAAGTCAACTCACACAATTTTCTTTGAAGTAAAATAAAAAGTTCTTATTTGTCACTTTAACACAACCAACATACAGTGTGTTCCTTGCACACTGCCTCTGCTTCTGCTGCGCACTCTGAGAGCGCAGGCGCAGAAGCCTTCAAGCCGAGCCGAAAGAAAGGAGCACTCTCAGTCGTTACTGTAATGCCCTGTTTCTGAGACCAAACGCTGCAGATACCGCTGAATTCGGTTCAGACCAATTTTAAGATTTATTATAATATTGTGACATGGTTTCACGGTCTGTTGCGAGGCAACGGCTGGGTAAACACGATTCCGCGACAACGGATGGCCACGCACTAATCATAGACATTGCTGGAAACGATGTTTCGTTCAAGCCCCGCGTCAAGACTATATAACCAATACCACACCACCATTTAGGGGCAGTTGACAGCCAGTGATAGCGAGTGTAGCCAATAGCAGTCAGTTTATTTCTGGTGTTTTATTTGTCGATGTAATTTGCACTCTCTTAATTTTTTTATTTCCTTTACTGACAATCAGACTGTACAATCTGTAAGTCAATGTGCCGATTGGTGTACAATTTAATAACTATTTATTGTACACTCTTCTGGCGTGTGAGGAATAAACATCCAGTGATGTTTTCCTCAGTTCGTTAGATCTGGTGGCCAAATTCTTTTGAGTCTTCGATTTTCATGAGGTTGAAGTAGTGGTTGAAGAAGTGGGTTGGAGTGAGTTTCTACCTTATTGAAGTACTTGGTGCTGATTTCTCGGATGACTTCTGTTACAGAAGAAGTTTTCAGATCTGTATGTAGGGTGTGGTTAGATACATACCCTGGTACGTTCGTGATGGATCGGAGTATTTTGGACTGGGCACGCTGTATAATGGCGATGTTGGATTTGCTGGCGCAGCCCCAGTGCTCTATGCCTATGCCCATATAGGCTTGATGACTGTTTTGTAGATTAGTAACTTGTTTTCGATGGAGAGGTGGCATTTTGTTCCTATGAGCCAGTTGAGTTCTTTGGTTTTTTGGTCCATCTGTTTTCTTTTCTTGATTATGTGTTGTCTCCAGTTTAGTTTCTTGTCAAAGGTTAATCCTAGGTATTTGACTTGTTCTTTTGTTTGTATGTTGATGTGATTTATTTTTGCACTGGGGGGCAGTGCCTTTACGGAGGGTGAAAGTTGTTTGTGTGGACTTTGATTCGTTTACCTTGATTTTCCATTTGTTTAGCCATGCTTCTATGAGGATTGGATGATCCTGTAGATGTGGGGAAGCTGTGATTGGATTGCCGTGGGTAGCGAAGATAGCAGTGTCATCTGCAAAAGTTCCTATTATCGTTTTTGCTGTTGTGGGTAGATCACGTGTGTAGAGAGTGTATAACAGTGGGCTTAGTAAGCTTCCTTGGGGCACCGCTGAGTGGATTGGTAGGCGGTTGGCTATTTCCTCATTTATTTTGACTACTAAAAAATCTTTGGCTTAAATATGACATTAGTAGGTTGTAATAATTGTTGGGAAAATTCTTTTTATTTTGTAAAGTAAGCCAGTATGCCAGACTCTATCAAAAGCCTGGGCTACATCTAAAAATGCTACTGTGCAGAATTGCTTGTTATTTAGCGCGTTTGTTATGGCATTTGCTATGCGATGGCTTTGTTGGATGGTTCAGTGGGCTCGTCGAAAATCAAACTGGTGGTTTGGTATCCGTGTTCGTGGGCTAGATTCTTGGTTTATTTTGTTCAGTATTAGTTTTTCGAGGACTTTTGAAATTGTGGGTAGTAGGCTTATCGGTCGGTAGGACGTGACAACGGTTGGATTTTGGCCTGGTTTCAAGATCATTATGATTTGGGTGATTCTCCTAATTTGAGCAGACATCTTTTCGCTTTACACATAATACGTGCCAGCGAGAATAGAAAGATTAAGAAAATGCTTAATACTAAACTAGAAGGAAATAGGAGAGCGGGAAGACCAAGATTAAGATGGGAAAAATGTGTGGCAGGACATAAGAATTTTGGGTGTAAAGAACTGGAGGAATGTAGCATCGAATGGAGAAGAATGGCGAGCAATCCTGAGGAAGACCAGGGCTCACAAAGGGCTGTCGTGCCAGTGATGATGATGATGATGATGATGATGATTTTTTCGCTTGAAAATCTGATACAAATTATTTTATATACTCTAGACCGCCAACATCCTTCAGTGTATAAAATAGATGGTACGTTGAAATACTTTCCTTATTTCGTTTTGCGAAACCCAGATTCTATGTGGCGGTAAGTTCGTTGTGGACATGCAGAAGGAAGGGAATGCATAGACCCTCTTCAGATTCAGTACTGAAAGGGCAAATGCAGCAGACTTTCTTTCTACTCTTTCACAAGATATATTCCTGTTTACATGCCTCCCATGAGCTCCTACCTCAGCGGACTCTGGGGAAATGTACGAGAAACAGACAAATGAAAAGAAGGCTCTTCCTGTTTTCCATATTGTCGATGTGAGCAAAACACGCCGAACTCCTCCGATTGGTCTTAATGTCGACGCTTTTGACATGTTTTATCGAGCTTTACGTTATTGGTCTTTGCCGTTGCACCAACTGTCCTGATATTTAATGAGTCCTTTAGGCTATCTCGTCGGATTCCGGTTTAGTATCTTGAAACAGGCCACATCTATTCCTCTAAAATGCCTCAAAGTCCACCGAGCTTACTGACACATCGCTTTCTACACAAGACAGGTATTTAGTTGATGTAGAGCTATTAAATACTTATCAATTACCCGAAACACGCTGGCTTCAGGTAGAGTATATCAGAAAGCTCTAGTTTTAAATGCTTTATCAATATACTTGTATTACATATACCAATTTTGAAATAAAAAATTTACAGCTTAGTTGTCATAATAGTGTAAGAGGTCTGGCGTGCATGTCGAAAAAAGACATGGGCACGAAGTGTGACATGAAATTTCGTGCATCTCGTCTCAAGATTTTATCTTTGAACCTAGCAAGTATCTATGGCCCTGTGGTCGAATCAGCCTCTAACAGAAAGGAGTACCAGGAATATTCCTGGAGGTAAAGGGCGGCCGAGCCGGTCACGGTAGCCGAGCGGTCTAAGCCATGTACTGTCTTTGCTCGTTTGGAAACCTGGATGGTGGGTTCGAATCCCACTCAGGGTATGGATGTTTAGTTTGTGTGTGCGCGTTTTTCTGTGTTTGTGTACAGGTAGAGGCCTTGCGACGAGCTGATCACCCGCCCAAGGCGTCCTACCGAATGTGTAAGATCTAGACAAACCGAAGTGAACGGAGAAGTTCATGGAGGTAGGCCTAGGCCCACTGGGGCTGTAGTGCCAAGGAAAAAGAAAAAGGGCGGCCGGCACGTAAGGCCGACAATCTCACCGCCATCTACGAGTATAAGCCGATTGTCTAGAAAATGTGGGAACCTCGACCTCTTACAACCTTATGGGCTTCCATGGTTTTATTACAGTGATACATTTACCTTTTTACCTTTTCACCTAAAAAGTAAAGCTATCTCTGTACCAGGCCGTAAAGGCTTATAGGGTTGTGAGACGTTGAGGGTCCCACATTATCTAGACAATCGGCTCAAAGATGGCGGTAAGGTTGTCAGCCTTACGCGCCGGCCGCGCTGTAATCCTCAGGAGAATTATTTAATTAACTCCTGGTATTCATTTCTGTTAGAGGCTGAAACGACCCCAGGGCCATAGTGCGGCTGGAAGGATTAGGTCAATAAAAAAATCCAATGACCTCATCGGGACTTGAACCCACAACCTTCCGACTTGTAGCACAACCCCTCAACCAACTGCGTACCAAGCATAATGCCATTGTTGTTAATCAAAAGACCGCAGTGTTTTATAACACACTTAAACGACCAATAGATATTTGGTGCTGATGATCGTATCACCAATTAAAAACATTTTGGCCTATTTAAGTGATAAAAAGTTAAAGCTTTCCTTGTGCTAACTGATTAAGCACTACGCCATGAACGTTTATGGATGAGTGGATGTATACGAGTATATCTATATTTTCATGACCTCAGCACTAGCTGGAGCTGAGTGGTCAGTTTCACGCCCCTGCCGCTTTACTCCCGGGGAAAGAGCCCCAGGTACCCATCGGATAGGAGATTGGGTGGATCCCAGAGCCGGTCTGGAGGAGGTGCAGAAGAGAAAATTCTTGACCACTCGGTCGTCCAGCCCGTAACCAGTCGCTATATCGACTACGCTGATAGAAAAAACAGAAAGGTCCCTTGATGCATATTAACTGGTTTGCTAGTTTTATGGATGTTCTTCTACAATGAACTTGTTCACAATGAATAAAAAGGAACGGTTCATTTCGTAACTGCGCACTTGGCGGAGCGACTCACCCGTGGATACAGCATTGCTTCGAAATTTCATATCTCTGATTGAGTTGTGAGAAACCATAAGAGTATGCTTCTTGCAGGGAGGAAAATGGCCAAAAAACTATCTACTTTCATTATTGGATTGAGGGCATGTTAGGGGAGAAAACTTCTCTTCTCCATCACGTTCATACCGACTCACATGATGAGGATGGAGGGGCTTCATCCTCCGAGA